GCTAAGCGATATTAAAAAGCCCATAGAAACGCATTAAAACCTGATTAATGCGTTCCTATGGGCTAAAAACTAACCTTAAAGCGAAGATCCTCCATAGGGGCAGCCATTTTTGTTGCCTCTAAAACGAGGCAAAACAGCGGGTGGCCATTTTGTTTACCTGGAGGCCATTTTGAAACCGCCGATCAGCTGGCCGAAAATGGGGGCTTTGCGATGATCGCTTCCCTGCGATCATCGCAAAGCGAATTTTCCCCATAGGGACCATTGCAAAGCAATCGCTCTTGCGATGGCAAAAAGTCTATCGCAAAGCGATTCATCGCTATGCGGAGCGATCACTATGCGAGGCACCACTATGTCTATATCAATACATGGGTAGGTAATCTTGAATCCAGTGCAATCCTATGCAAGTTTACTCAGAGGTATATCTCACTGTGTTCAACAGGTGTGCATGGGACTACTGCCATGTTTATTAAGTTCTTGTTTGCAGATATGGCCCAAAGTTATTAAATTAAATATTGCAAATACAAACCTAATTATATATCAGAACTTGAAACCAGAATACTTTACAAACAACATGTATAAGTGTGACTTTTCTTTTGGAATGAAAATCATGCAGTATGTAGCCATATACATTTACAAAAGAAAGACCGCTTCTTTGTGGTTGATATTTTTAACATTTATTTAAAAAAGCAAAATGTATGTTCATTTCAAATGAATCTGTTAAAAATGTTAAAGCATACAAACACAAATTGTGTCCTAGCAGCATCCAATAATTAGATTTTTCTAGAAGTCTGCAGTGTCATTTTGGCAAGCTAAAACACACAGTAGCTTGCAACCCACTGACCTCATCATAGTGCAGATAAAACAAAAACTTTATAAAATTAACAGGTTAAATAGCTTAAATAAAGGTGTTAAATACATGTCACTCACTCAAAGCTCCTGTACAAAGATAAACAAATCTGGCATTATACAAATGATTGGCTGGCTCGCACCACATATGGTTTTAATAGTTAGTTTCTCTATAACCATCTTAGCTGAAGACAAACTATACAAAGTCACTGACATTGGAGTGAACTGATAAGTGAGCCATGTACAAGGCATGTGTCTCTTTAGAAAAAACAGAACACTGTTTAAATTCAGGCACCATTTTTTCTGCAAATAAATAATCCTAATATATCTGCATCCAAACTAGTGTTAAATTCATCAGCACTAATTTTTTATAAAGACAGCTTGGTAACTATTCATTTCTACCTCCATTATTGCTATGACAATGTGACTGTGGAAATATCTACTGTACATACAAAAAATAGAGCACCTTTAAACATGAAAGTATATGTCTAGTTATTTATTTTTATCTTACAGTATTGAAATCAAAGCTACCATAAATTGCTTTACCATCTGCACTGGAGCACCTGAAGTAGAGAAAATAAAAATCACCTTATTCCTCTCCAGGAAAACTCAAGCCAGAAGTATACTCTAAAATGTCTAAAATGACACCAGGATTTGTACATTCATTTTCACAAAAACAAATGTCTGCCATTCTTTCTGTTTTATTTAGATGAATATGAATCTAATTCCTAACAGTCCACAGCCTTGTTCAAATGAGCAGGGCTACACAGAAATTACAGCAGTATATATAAAATGGGCTGTGAATATAGTGAAATTATATTAGGCTACTTCAAAATTACTGGTGTTTATGTGGTTTCAGTGATGCTTTTTCAAATATTAGGACTTCTTATCTATCGTATTAAAAAACCATTCAGTAAATTTTCTTAGTTGAGCAGCTGCTGTTTGGGATTCTTCCTGAAGTCTCATGTTATCCTGCCTCAGATGCTGGACTTCAGCCTGGAGAACAGCTTTGTCTTGTTTTTCCTAAATCATAGAAAGAGATTGAATGATGTTTGTAACCACTATTTTTGCTGCTGATGTTTCTGAGTAAGCTAACAGACCTCAGTTTATTTCAACTCCCTACTGATAATGAAAGCACTAGAACTCTGATCCAAATCCCTGAATTTGCCTTAGTCTATTGTTTTAAAGTAGATGATCTTGCAGGCTAAACAAAGATAAGTTAGATGGTATAACCAAGTTTCCATATTTTAGCTACATATAGGCCTAGGTTACATGCAGCATGCTTCCTCATAGGAGCAGGGACATAAATCAGAAATACTGACTTAAAGGGCTTGCAAACAATACAAAAAGAACAATATAGCTGGGAGCAACTATGCAGCTAGACATGCATTAAGTAGTACTTTACAAAAAATACAGGTCAGCAACTGTGAAAGGAAAATAATGGACTTCAGAGGAGGGAATTGTCTCCAAACGCTATATAAAGGCATCAAAATTAGTTTCAACAAGAAGAGGCACCGGTTTTTCTGCAACATCAGATACTAGTCAGCAGCGAAGTTTTAAAGATTGTGAGCATAATCCAACAAATCTACACCACTTGCTCCTGCAGCTCATGGACACCCAGAAACCACCTCCAGAGGGCTGGGAAACTCTGTGCAGCAAAATTTTGGTACCATAGAGCAAGGGTCCCCAACCCCTGGTCGATGGTCTGGTGGTGGTGTGTGGGTTTCCTGGAAATGGGCTGCGGACACGGATCTCCGCCCCCCAATGGGTGTGCTACTCTCGTGGAGGGGCGTGTTGTGCTTTGCCTGACACCCCCTTCTCAGCTGGCTTGCTCACTCGTTCCCCCCGTCCGCCTTCCCTTACCTGCTCCCAGGACAATCAGAAGGAAGCCAAGCAAGCCAATGGGCGCCGCGCAGCCACCTCGGGGAGAACCCATGGGCTCTGCAGATGGGCAACGGGGGTGACAGCCATCCGTGAGCAAGAGCCTTGGACCCCCCTCCGTGCTCAGACCACCCGCCTGGGTCATGAGACACTCCCAAACTCTCGCTCCTGTTCCCAGCCCCAGCAAAGTGGGTGGCAGCAGCGCAGGTGTGGCGACGGTCGCCCCAGCACACAAAGCGCACGTGCGCCCAGTGATCGCCAGCCAGAGGGCTTGACTTTCCTCACTTGCCTCGGGCGGGAAGTAGTGTTGCACTGGCCGAAGTTCGCCCAAGCCCCACGAAACCGGTGCTGGGCACCTTGGTGGGGCGAAGCTGGAGGGTGGACCTGGGGTGGCAGCGGGGGGATGGATCAGTCAAGTGGGGAGACAGGTGCCAACATGCAGTTGCCCCTACCGCACCCCTGGCTTTTGTGCACTTGCTTGTTTGGCTGTTACTGCAGAGTTTTGCCTTTTACACTTACACGTGCAAGCATGACACACACTCCTGTGAGCGCGGGGTGCCCCACCCCGGCACACAAACCCCGCAGCCCCCAACCAATCCACAGTCCCAAAAAGGTTGGGGGCTGTTGCCATAGAGGGCTGGGGCAAGGAGTGTTAATACTACATGGATTTAACCCATGTGATCTATTTACACAGCGAAGAAAGAAAATCATGTTCATGAATGAATCAAGTCAATAAAAAAGGCAGTTACAGACATATAGACAGAGTAACAGACATAAGGAGATATGATTAGCTACAATATAGGCAGATACCAAATCATTATGCATAGGACCATCTTAATGGCCTAGAAAGCAGTAAGGTCAGTACTATAGCTATCTCATCTGATTTACCAACCTATTCTCAGAAAACAATGGGTCCTTCCTTCCTACTCTCCTACTAACATATTAAGTTTAACAGACTAGAAAAGGTTTCCTCAACACCAGAGCTCCAGTGATGTATGTGTTTTCACTAAAATATTTTTAAATCCACCATCATCATAAAAAAACAACAGGGCCAGTAATTGAAAGGGTAGTCATATAGGGTGCAACAGTAACTAGCCAAGATGGTTGAGGGCTAGCTGAAGCTGTACTGAATTGCTCCTAACCTAGAGATATTTGAAATATTTAGAACTACCCTCATAACGGCCTAATTTTGAGCTGGAGCATCCCTGGGCTGCAAGAGGTTTCAATCTGCTGTAACTCAGCTCCTCCCTCATCTCATCAATTCTCTGTTAGTGGCCGGTATTATCAAGCATGGCAGTGTTTTTTTGGCTGATTCTTTCAATGGCACATCTCTAAGATTAGGCAGGGCAAAGGCTGTGTTGGCACAAGGGGAGTTGTGCCAGTGCAGGAGGCTGCCCACTTCAAATCCACTATAACCAGTATAGCTTTGAGTTAGCGTTTTATTTTAGTTTGTAGTCTGTGTCAACAACAACAACAAAAAGGAGCCTCGTAACAAATTAGAAACAACCATGTTTTATTTGGCATATTTTGGCAGTCCACATCTAGAGACATATTGCAGTGTTGTTCAAATCTTTGTTGATCCCATTAACACAAGTGCTAGACTTTATGGTACCATAATACTTTTTTGCTGTTGCAATTTTTGATGCACTTTTATGGGAAAGTTATTCCATATAGTTGAGCTGTCATAACCAAGAAGCCTCTTTCTATTGTCTAGACATAATGTACTCAAGGCTCCTGGAGAACAGCCTTTGCTTAAAGGCAAAAGATGAGTACAAGGAGTTCAACACTTTCTTTCATTGTACCTTTTCACACTGTCTCTCCAAGCGATAATATTTATGAAGTTAAGAGGTTTGTTTAAAATTGTTTAGCAGTTCTGCCATTTGGAACTGCCCCCCTTTTTTTCTAAAAGAAAAAGAGGAAAAAATCCCACTCCCTCTTTCATTCATTCAAGATTGGTGAGATCTATGCATAATAAAGTGGGTCTGCTGCTGTCACATATAGTTTGAAACTTAAGAAGCTGTTTCTCATTGCAAGGGGTAAAGTATTCTAGGAGGCACAATAAGCTCTAAATTTCAGAGTACTCTGGAAAAAGTAGCCATGTCCACCTAACCAGAGGCTATGTAATTAATCCTTACAGTTAGATACAAGAAACATTTATGTAAGCAAATCTTACATAAGAAAACAAAACTGAAACAGTGAGAAAGTGTCATCTACACTGGTTCTTAACCTTGGGTTACTCAGGAGTTTTGGACTGCAACTCCCAGAAGCCTTCACCACCAACTGTGCTGACTGGGGTTTCTGGGAGTTGCAGTTCAAAAGCATCTGAGTAACAAAGGTTAAGAACCACTGATCTAGACTTCGAATACAATCTAACTCCTCAAATGTGAAGTAAACAAGTTCATTGGTACTTTCAGACTTTACTCTTCAAGTCTTTCTGAACATGATGAAATTTTATTTGTCCCCTTAATTTAGTTCTCATGATAGAAAAGTTCATGAATTACCTGAAGGAAAAATAATGCAGTTGAAGTTTTTCCCTAGTTAATGTTCAAGTATAAATTTGGCATAAAATATTTTATTCTACTGGAATTTTAATGTGTAAGAGGAATCATGGAAGTTGCTGGGGCTAATGGCAGCTAACTGGAGAGGTGTCAAGAGCATAATCAGGTACACAATCAGGCACATGACCAACAAGCTACCAACACCTCATCAGTTAGTTGCAGCAGATTCCATTATTTCTCTTGCATGCACATAAAATCCCAGTAGTATTTTGGTTAAAAAACTAAGATAGTTTTAATTGACTAATCCACTACTTCAGCAAGTTAAGTCAAATGTTTTGTTGTTTACTGGCTGGTCTATAAATTGGTATCTGAATGTATGAAGTTGTCTTCTAATGGTAAGTCCTACCATTAGTTTGTCCAGGCCAGGACAAGCACTCTGATTCTAAATTGAGCTTCCACTACCTTTCATTCAACTTCCATTGAGATACCAGAGATGTTGTACACTGAGGAAGCAAGTAGATTGGACGACAGATTTGCTATGGGACCCACTCTCATACAAACATTTTAAAATATCTAAATTTATTTATTTATTTATTTATTTGATTTTTACCCTGCCCCTCTAGACCATGTCTACTCGGGACGGCTTACAAAATAAAACAGAACTGTATAAAAATATATAAAATCATAAAATTACAATTACAATTTCAATTTAACAATTAATTTAAAGAAAGGATTACCAAGATGGAATAGCAAAGAAAAGAAAAAAGGAGAATGCAGCTGCTCAGGGCTTGATCTGACATGAGCGCTGGTAGATGCAAGGTTACAGGTTACCTCCTGAGCAATTTTCCCTGTCTGAATCAAGTCCCCCCTCTCCCCTACCAATTTGTTCAATGTGGCGAAAACAAAAATCTAATGTAAGTAAAACCTTCCAGTAGTAGCTCCTGAGTTGTCCAGTAGCTCCTGAGTTGTCTTAGAAGGAAACCATATATGCACTGATAACTCTAATAAGTAACATGTTTACCTTACGAAGATCAGTTTGCAATTGTCGAAGAATCACTTCAAGCTGGTTTACTTTTCCAGTCAGAGTAGTAGGGCTGTCCTCCCTACAAAATTAAATTATATTTTGAAATTCTTGAAATGTCTCAAGCCTATTCCCTAGTAAATTAGGTCCAGATAAAATGCAGAAGTCACTGAAGCAACAGATGCAATAGTAGCAATAAGCTGTTATTCAGATACAAGTCCAGTCATGTGATATTTAATCAAAAATCAAATGCTAACAAATGTGTCTGAGATATCCCTTCCAATTTCCCTTGCTTATAATGCATTTTGTTAAGAAAGAAAATGAGACTGAAACAAGTTTATTTACACAAAATTAGTGTTCAAGTGTGTCAAATTGTACAACTGCTGGACTATGAAGCAGGGTGGGAAACAGTCAGAAAAAATGAGAGAGGTTAGGATAAAGACTTGGATTTAATTCATCCTTTCCCCGTTTGGGAAACCCAAACTTTGAAATGAGATGTCACAACAAGTGCAAAGAGAACAATTTGGAGAGACCACTGAGGGAGTGGAGGACGTATAGGTGGATCAATGTTCCGCAAACCTCTAAGAAACCTCTTCAGAGTTGGGTGAGAGAATAAACGAGAAGCCTCAGATCCCACAGGCGGATATGAGACTACAACAGAAATGTAAACTTTTCGCATTGAGTGGGACTAACCTTGATTAAACAGATAACGAAGGAACTTGAGGAGGGTCTTCAGCGAAACTGGAACCGCAAGTAAACCCCCTGATGCAACAAATTTGGAGAAAATATTCAATTTACAGTGGTGCCTCGCTTAACGATTACCTTGTTAAACGACGAATCTGCTTGACGATGAGTTTTTTGCTATCGCTTTTGCGATCGCAAAACAATGTTTTAATGGGCAACAACGATCGGTTCCCTGCTTCGGGAACCGGTTCTTCGCATTACGATGATCAAAACAGCTGATTGTCGGGTTTCAAAATGGCCGCCCGCTGGGTAAAATGGCTCCCCGCTGTGCTTTAGGATGGATTTTTTGCTGCACAGACATCGGAAAATGGCCGCCCTATGGAGGATCTTCGCTGGACATTGAGGTATTTAGCCCATTGGAATGTATTGAGCGGTTTTCAATGCGTTTCAATGGGCTTTTTTATTTCTCTTGACGACGATTTCGCTCTACAGCGATTTCGCTGCAACAGATTATCCTTGTCAAGTGAGGCATCACTATATAAGAATATAACAATTTAGTAGAAGGCTTTCTAGCCTTATCTAACACCTATGCTATGGTGGAGAATCCTCCATGCTGTGAGGTATAGAGAGTCCAAGTTGGGATGACAAATCCGGCCTCTGTCCTGCATCAGAACGGACGGCTGGAGAGGTAACCTCAGGAATTCGGAAGCCATGGTTCTGAGAGGGCTAAACCATGGTTACCGAGGCCACCATGGGGCTATTAGGATAGCATTGGCTCGCAGCTGATGGAGCTTGACTATCGTCTGCTGGATGAGAGGAATGGGAATTGACCTGCAGGCCGACATCTGCCAGAATCTGAAGAACAAAGCTAGAGTCCCTTTGGGTTGCGTGTAGGACCCTGCCACTATCAACCAGTCTATATATGGAAAAACCATGATATTGTGTAGAGGAAGGTAGGCAGCCAGAGGGGCCAGACACTTCATGTAAGTTCTTGGAGCAGTTTAAAGTCCAAAGGGGAGAGTGCAGAATTGGTAAGCTGTGCCCTGAAAAGAAACCGGCAAGATTTGAAGTGACGTTCATGAATGGAAATATAGAAGTATGCGTCCTGAAGATCTATAACTACAAACCAGTCACCTGGAGAAAGGAGTGGGATAACGGATTTGAGGGTGACCATGCGAAAACGCCTGGGTTGAATGCAGGTATTGAGAAGTCGCAGGTCTAGGATGGGTCGAAGACCCCCATTTTGTTTGGGGACTGTAAAGTAACGAGAATAAAAACTGTTTAGAACATCCTCTAGAGCAGGTGAGTAAACCATGTTTTGAATAGTGTGCTTCTGGATGAGAAGAGGTATTTCATCCTCTAGAGCAGGTGAGTAAACCATGTGTCAGAGATGACCAAGAGGAAGAAGTTCCATGAACTCTAACTGGTAACTGTAATGTATGATAGCGAGCACCCAAGTGTTCTTGGCGATGATGGACCACTTGTTGAGAAAAGGGGCTAGTTGGGGATGATAGGGACAGTCAGGAATCAGATTCAAGGAAGGAAAGTCAAAGATATTGTTTGTTTTTCCTTGCCGGATGACAGAAAGCTTGTCTATGCTGGGCTGGGGCCTGGGACCGGAAAGGAGCAGCAGTAGAAGAAGACTGAGGAAAACTGGATCTCTCAGGAGCTGGAGCGAGAGGTTTGTAAGGGCGGTAGGGCTGTTAGTATGACTGTTGGAATGTAAAAGGCCTATGCCACTGGTTACATTGGTATCTGGACTGTTGGGTGGAGTAAAAATGGGCAGTCTTGCAAATTTTGTGTAAGTTATCCATGACCTCATCAGTCTTATCATTGAAGAGGCCAATGCCATCAAAGGGAAGATCATCAATGAGGGACCTAGCATCATCACTGATCCCCACTGAACGTAGCCATGCATGCCCTTTGAGGACAATGGCAGAAGCCAAGGCGTTTAAGGCAGCATCAGCCATATGGCGAGATGCTAGATGCTGCTGTTTAGCCAGAGTAGTGGCCTCAAGGTGGGTATTGAGGGCACTGGCTCTAGTCTCCTCAGGAGCAGACTGAAGGACTGGAAGGATCTTGTTCCACAATTGCCTGTGATAAGCCCCCATTTAAACCTGGAAGTTTGAGACCCTCATGATAAAGATGGCAAGGGAATAGAGATGATGACCTACTACGTTCAGCTTTTTGCCTTCCCTGTTGGTAGGAGTGATTGTTGATCAGTTACCAGTGTGAGACTGATTGGATTGTACTATAATGGAGTTTGGAGATAGATGCTTGACAAGGAAAGCTGTGTCAGTGCCATGTATCCAACAGTGGTTCTCAACACGTCTGGAAATTTGGAGAGACGTAGATGGCTTGTCCGATGATTCTTTAATAAGGTCCAACATAGCCAGTATGAATGCTAAACTCAATGAAGGGGATTTCTCTTAATTTATATCATGGAAGACAAGATCATGCTTAGGAGGAGGAGGCTGCTCAATGTCGAGCTCCAAGGATTTGGCCATGCGAAGAATCAATTAGGAATAGGATGTGAAATCCTCGGAAGGGGAGGGCCAACATCTGCCACATCTGAATCAGGAGTTGGTAGGTTTGAAGGGGACTCCCTGGAAGCTAAGGAAGGAGGATCCTGTTCAGATGCCATTGAAACCGAGGAACTTCTGGAAATAGAGAGAGGTTGCAATGGAGAACAGTGATGAGTCTGAGATGTAGCAGATTAAATCTGGGGGGTCGACACCGATGCAGGGACGTGACAGGAGTAGCGCGTCCTAGGAAGAGAAGTACTTGGTTGTGATACCGAGGCGGATGGTACCGAAGATGAGCATGAGTGCTTTGATCGAACTGGCTCCGGTCAAGTGGCGTCAGAATGAGGCATGTGCTGTTTAGTAGCTGATTTACTTGGTACCGAAATTGCAGGATCAATCTGATAATAGGCTCAATGTCGATGCCGAGCAGGAGAAGGTGAAGGCAAAAGAGAAGACTCAGGAGGGGAAGCGTAAGCTTAATATACCCGCTTAGGTCGCCCATAATAATCTGCAAAATAACGAGGATTGATCTCGTCAACTCAGTACTGATGCCGATCACCATCCTGATTGAACTCCGTATAAAGGGGTTCTCCGTATTCCTAAGCCAAATGAATTTGAGACAGACGAGGGATGAAAATCACTTCCCAATACTGGGAATATTGTCACGATGGGGAGATGTGGCGATGTTTGGATGACCGCTTATGCGAAGGAGACCGCGGAGCCGAAGCCTCCGAGTTGGAGAGCTAAATTACCATTGCTCGGGACTGGTTGAGGAACTGGAAGGTCTCAAAGTTTTTCCCCACAAAAATGACCGAAGTCATTGTAACCGGAGCTTGAGAACCGGTTTGGTTAACTTTTTACACTTTGGACAGGAGTGAGTTTGGTGCCTCTCACCGAGACAAAACAAGCAGCGGTCATGGCCATCAGTGAACAGAATTTTATTGGCACATGTCGCACAATGCTTGAATGGGCCTGAAGAGGCCATCGTCGCACAATGTTTGAATGGGCCTGAAGAGGCCATTAAAAAAGGCGAGAAGGGGGGAGAAGACAAAACTAAAAGATAACTCACAGGGAAATGTGGGAAGGGGAGGGAGAAGACAAAACTAAAAGATAACTCACAGGGAAACGTCCGTAAATGAAAAACTAGATTAAGTCTTTGATCCAATAATCGTAAAAGTTAAGCAGTCTGAAAGATCAGAAAAACCATAAGACAAGGTAAGAATCGCTCTAGTAGTCGCTAAAGGAGTCCAAGTTCAGTGGCAGCTAAAAGGAACTGAGGTATTATGGGCGGGCGGAGCATGAGCGCCAGGGGGGAACGTCCTACTAATCACATGTTTTTAAGCTCTAGAATATTCCAAGGAGTCCTGCGCAGGCATAGTCTAATCCATTTGTGTGCATCCACAGAGGCAATGAAGAATATCAAATTTGGGTTTGGATTTATTGAGAACTATCTAAATATGGCATTATTCAGTGAATTCCAAATATTTCCAAATGCACATTCCTAATTTGATAAACAGTGTTGTTTATCAAGACAGATCCTGACAGACAGCAAAACTGTTTGGACTACCCATACCGATCTCAGTAATACTTAAATAGCTTCATTAGCGACCAATCTTTTTGAAAACAGAATTTAAAATGCTGATTTTAATATTTAAAGGCAATATGGTTTAGGATCTGGGTATGGTGGCCTACCTATGTCTGGATGAAGTGCCCCCATGCTAAACCCATCCTTTGATGTGATCTCCTTGTTTCCCTTGCTTTCAGAAAATGACTAGATGAAGAGTGTTTCATCTGGCACTTATTTAGCTTGAAAATACATTGAGGATCTTTCCATCCAGCCATGCTTTAAACTAGTTTAATCTGGTATTAATCTCATTGAAATGTGAAATGCTTATGCTGTTTTACTATTTGAATCGCTCTACATTATTCTAAAGTGAACTTTGGTTATTGATTTAATGCTTTTTCTTCTCCAGTACTGAAGGCTACCTTATAAGCAATTCAAATTCCAATACACAGAGTGACAGCAGGATGACCAGAATGTCATCCTTAGCCATTTATGTAACCAGAAACACACAATATGGGTTTGAGAGCTTTGGAGAGTGAATGTCACTTAATTCCCACTCTATAACCCACTTAATGCCACTCTATAACCCTCTGCACTGGTAGCTTCTGAATGACAGTTAAGGGAAAGACTGCAGAATGTGGCATTCCTTGTGGCCCTCCAGGTGTTTCTGGATTGCAAACACATGTTCTTTTAATAATTGAAGATATTTATTTCAAATACAGTAAGCTGTTTAAATTGATTACAAAAATGAACTCCCATCATTTCTCACCACTTGTCATACTATCTGAAGCTGACTGGAGTTGTTTCTCATGCCTGCTGAAAAGGAAGCTTTTGTTTCATTTTTGGTAAAGAGTACCATTTGATTTACATACCCAGTAGCATCAATAAAATCTTTTCCATTTGTCGGATTTGTGCCTAAGGATTGATTACTGTCCAAACTCTGTACATGCTGCATGTCATTCAAGGTACAAAAAGATGCCACTCTTTGATCTGAAAAGACAAATACATTAAACATTTAAGATAAGGTGGATGAAAAATACTTCCAGTAAATATTGCTGATGAAGAATTCAAATATCCTTTTTATTTGGATGCACAGTAAAAGAAAGTCTCTGTATCAAAACCCTTCCTTCCATCCCTTCCAATGTAATTGAAAAGCAAGCTCATGATAGCCTCAGTTTTGCATGTAACTGACATTTGCTTTCATGGTCTGCTATTAATTTAGTTCTGCCCAAATTTTCAGAAAACACTGAGATCATGAGCAGCTTCAAACAAACTAACAGTAAATGCAGGCAACTCAGAAAATAACAGCTAATTCCATAAATAACTATGGAATCCAGTATAGCAGAGCATATTTATTGTACTACTATACTTGAACATAATAATTGATTATCTGTGCACTTGAAGTCCAATATGCTAGAGTTCCTGTTTATGATCTTTATCACAGGTTTACCAATTTAATGGACAAAAATTTATGTTTCCTCTTAGATTTTCAAGTAACTTCTTACCCCCATGATTCTTAGAATACATGCTTGGCTTGTTTGGAAGATGATTTTTTTCTCACTGAAGAACATGCAGTGTGGCAGACAAAAATATACTCAGATGCCGAACACACTATTTCTATAGAAAATGAGAAAACCACACTTTGCTCTTTTTCCATGCAAACGGTTTATTCTGTAACTACAGGGCTTATTCATGTGAATAAATTAGTTTTCCTAGAATCTACCAATTTTTATTGGTCCTGGCCATAGCATGCCTTCCCCTATCATCTTGCAAAGTCCCAAAGCTTGCATATGATCATGCAACCGTGCAAACATATAGCAATATAAAGATACATTTTAAAAAATTAAGATCCAATAGTCAACCCCAGATCATCACCTAGAAACGCAGTGTGATGACAGACTGGCCCAAGTTCTTCGTCAGAGTCAAAATCTGAAATAAGATTCAGAATGTTCCTATAAACAATAGAATCTACTGAACTAAATTCTGAATAATGTATTTGCGATCCTTCTGAGAGGCAACATATCTGGACTACTTCTTAACATCAATAATATTAGCTCTCACCATGGGATCTTCTTACAAATACCTTTAAACAGTAATATTTTTCATTAGATTACTACTATCATATCATCATCTTTGTATTCCATGTATTTTTAATGAAATGGAAACTTAAGTACCACTTTAAATGGTTATAACAAATATGGACAAATATGTGGCAGTGAAAAGATTGATACATAATCTTCATGTATCTGAGTTCATTTTCTATTAAATTTCCATACCATTACAGAAAGAACAGCAAGCATCTGCTAAATATACCTATATTTGCAGTTTGGAGATTGTTTTTGAACAGCATGTCCACATGCATTGTGAAGACAAGACATGATTCTACACTTGAGTGGCAGCGTATAGCCAGAACTCATAATGGTAACATAATACAGTACAATAATATCATGAAATTCATAAGTGAATTCAACATACTGAAAGACTGAGGTATCTATAGTACAGAACATTCATGGCAAATATATGTACTAAAATATGGGATAGAAATAAAATTGCAGGTTGATACCTATTTATCCGTTTCACTTTGACACTTTATTTTAAAAATATGAATAAAAATGAAATTAAAATAAATATTATGCCCTTTTATGTATCACTTTTCACTAGTTTAGGATGAGAATTGGTAACAGAAGACACAGTAGTTCAATTAAAAACATTCATTAGTAAGATGAACTCATAATTTAATACTGTATGCATGCTATAGTGAGTCTTGGGCAAAACCTCTTGTGCAAATATCTGCACAAGAGGTTTTGGTGGAACCCTGTTGTGCTAGGTAGCACAATGCAAGCTAATATTCAGATATGATCAAATGTGACAGAATATAATCTAAATAAAAGTTGTCACTATATGACTGGAATGCTATCCTAGATAGACCTTCAGTCTAATCCACCATTATCTCCTTATTTGTTATCATATTCTAACATACCAGACTATGGCTGACATCGTTTCCAGAATTACACAGTGTAAGGCTGATGATGTCATCAACTGCAAAGATTTTCCAGAATTTTTTTCCTATTTCCCTTGAATGTTCTAAGGCTCTCTTAGGGTTCCCTTAATTTCAAAAACCTGCCACCACAGATTTTTAGAAACTGAAGACTTCCCCGTCCTCTGGCCCCCAATGGTTTACCCATGGTAAATGGGATTCTAATGGAGCCTCACGCCGTTTAGGGAGCAAGTGAGGAATTTTTAATTTCTAAAAAATTACCACAGCTGATTACTTTGCCAGCCTTACACAGTGTAACTTCTGGCAACAGGATTTTGGCCAGTATATAAAACAATGTTTTGTCCTCAATATTTGCATCCATTTATTTTATATTATTTATGGATTTCTGGAGTTCCTTTCTGGACAAATTGCCAAATTTTCTGAATGTGAAGAAACTGAGAAATTGGGGGAGCATGGAATCCATCTGGAAAATTTAGGCTTCTTTGTCAGTGCCTGAGAAAGTAGAGAGCAGTGTTTTCCCAGTAATGAGAAGGGAGTAACACCTGCAGTTTATCTCTTGGGAGTAAGTATTTCAAGCCCAAGTTGGCTTGTTCCCTGGTGCTGCACTAATTGGAAAATGCTTTCAGGTGTGTGAAGGGAGGAGTGCACAAAGTGCTCTTTTTCATGAATATTTGAGTGAAGTTGAAGTCAGAATGACAAACCATCTGGAGGGGCCAAGAATGTGATGTTTAATATATATAAATAATTTCAAAAATTGATTAGTCTACCCATCAGGAGATGCTACAGTGGACCCTCGACGTACACATGGCTCGACGTGTGTACTTTTCGACATCCGGACTTCTCCAGCCACAAGATTTCCAATCGACTTATGGCTGGAGAATCGATCTACGGACCAGAAGGGGGAAGCGGGGAAAGTGCCAAACTCAAATTTGGTGCTTTCCCTGCCTCCCCATTCCAGTCCGTAGGCCGCCGATCATGCCTCCGGATGCCTTCCAGGGTCCAGGGCTTTTCCGCTGCCATGGGAGGCATTTCAGAGCCCCCCCGCCGCTGATCGAGCCTCCGAAGCATAATTGGCGGTGGGGGGGGACCTCTGAGAGGCATCTCATGGCGGCGGGGAAGGCCTACGAAGGTCTCCCTCACTGCCAGTCGTGCTTTGGAGGCTCGATCAGTGGCGAGGGGGGGCCTCTGGAGGCCTTCCCCACCGCCGTGGGAGGCTCTCGGAGTTCCCCCGCCAACGCAGGCTTTCCCAGGGTGGTCCAGGCCTACCTACCAGGGGAGGGCTTCTCCTGGTAGGCCTGGTCTACTCCCTGGGAAAGCCTGGGGAGTAGACTGGGCCTACTGGGGGAAGCCCTCCCCTGGTAGGCCCAGTCTACCAGGCTTTCCCGGGCAGTAGACTGGGCCTCCCAGGGAAGCCCTCCCCTGGTAGGCCTGGTACACCCTGGGAAAGCCTGCGTCGACAGGGGTGAGGGACCTCTGAAAGGCCTCCGGCAGCAGTGGGGAAGCCCTCGGAGGCCTCGGGCAGCAGTGATGGCGGTGGTGGGGGACCCCTGGAAGGCTTCAGAAAGGTAAGGTCTTTTCATGTGGCTTATTTTCATTTTTTGTTTCTGTGTGGGTTTTTTTTCTTGGGCCAGTTACGGATTAAATGGTTTTCAATGCATTCCTATGGGAAATGCATATTTCTTCAGCCTTCTTAGCCTAGTCCTAGGTCACAGAACTCATCTGCAATCTGATCCCACTAACAAAGGTGGCTCTAAGCTTGTCTGTCAACTGCAAGTGACTCAATGGGCATATGAGAAAACGGATCAGTCTGAAGTGAAGAGAAGTTAGGAATGAGATACATGTGATTCTTATCTTACTAGTAATGATGCAAGCACCAAGCTTTAAGCTGGACACTTAACCTCATAGTTATTATACAGATTCTTACAATTACCTTCAAATGCTTGTGCAGCATCAACCAGATGAGACCAATCTAATCCTGTTGCTGTATCTGGAAGGGGCATGAGGCCAGGATCATTGAATCTTGATTTGTCAGATAAAGATCCATCTGAGAACCATAGTTCATCTAAGTAAAAACCAATATAAATAAAAAGTCTTTGAAAATATCTTAATATGTTAGAAAGGAAATAAAGTTTAAAACTTTTCAAACTGAATTCGGAATTCATTTACTGTTTTTGCTACTATTTCTGACTTATGACAACCCTTTGCATCAGAGTGATATACAAAAGGTCCTGTAATTTAGTTTGCTCAGCTCTTGCAAACTACAACTTGTGGCTTTATTTACTGAATCAATCCATCTCATGCTAGGTCATTCAGCTTTCCTATT